TCTAGTCGTCTCAAGCTTCATCCAGTTTTTCACGTTGCCTTCTTGAAGCAATACGTTGAGGACCCTAGTAGATATGTTCGGCGTCGGGCACCTCCAACAATCAGGAAGCAATTCACAGAGATAGCAGAAGCTATTCTTGACCACAAGACTGAGGGAATGAGTAAGAAAAATAGAAGAACTCATTACCTAGTCAAGTGGGGAGAAAAAAATGACATTGTGGCAGTTCAAGGATCTCATCAAGCAGTATCATGCCTCCATTCTAACGAGGTCGTTGGATACTTCAAGTGGGGGTGACTTGTCACACCCTAACTGACTTGGGTGCATAATGGTGATCTTGGTGGCACCTTGCACCAAGGCACGCCATGAGATTGAATCAAGGTGATGCGGCTATACGGTTCGACAGATTGGTGCAGACTGTTGCAGCATGAGACCGCCCGGCTGAGAATGGCAACACGTGGTGGGCTCAATTGAGGCAATGTGGGTGCATAGCTTCGAATTGCATGGCATGGGCTGAACGCAGCAAGCACAATGGTTCTTGAGGCAAGGCTGGCTACTGAATTTGGACACATGACTTCTCAATGCATGTGACCAGGAGGATGTAGGCAGTTGCTGAACAAGGCTTAGTTTGTGGGAAGTAGTTCTGGACGTTTCTAGCCAGATTCTAGTCCAGATGCATGCTAATGAGGGGTAGTTTCACATCAGTTACTGAATGAGTGAAACTGTCTACCAGGTGTTGTACAGAGATCAAGCCTGCTGGTCAAGTCTGCTATGGAATAGTAGAATATGGGTAACTACCCTTTGGCAGATGGGGGTGTCATCTACTATGATCTTGTATAAATAAGAGTGCTTAGACATTTTGATAGTCAGAGAGAGTGGTCTGACTTTGAGAGTTCCTTGTAAATTGTTGAGTTAAATATATAAGGTTTGGAGGTGTTGTCTCAGTAAATTTGTATGTGCCTTCTGTGTGAGTTTCTGTCCATTGTTATTGAGATTGAGTGGCTGGTTGTAGTAGCAACGCCTTCATAGGTAGCCTCGAAACGAAAAACGAGTTGTTATCCTATGACACTAGGGATGGCAGTGGACTAGGACTGGGGCCGGAGAGTAGTTTCGATGTCGTACTCGCTTTAAAAATATTCGTTCACTTCCAGTTCATCCCGTTAGCAAAAAAAAATTTAATTTCCGTCCTTGTCGCACGAGTAAATTTTGATTATCGTCTCCAACCATAACAATTAATTTCTATGATTTTAATAAAAATAAATAAAAAACCTTGAAACCTTACAAATGGATTTGCAAGAATGATGAAGCCCAATTATATAACAAATTGATTAAAACAAAGAGAAATAAAGTGAAGTGTTTTTTTTTCAAGTAAAGAGAAAAGCGTGTGAATGGGTGAAATTTGTGATATTATATATATGTATTAATGAGTGGGTGGGAGAATGGGTAGAGTTTGTGTCTTTGTGATATTATATCTACTAGCTGATTTATTATATATTTACGGGTTTATATAAGTATATCCGTATACATTCACTGTCCAATATATATAGTCCATTCCCAGTCCAAATGAGACAGGTTTGAACGAATACCCTTTTTTTCAGTCCACTGTTATCCCTACTTATGTCTTACCTCGTGAGCAACAACAATGAATTAATCAATTCAAGACCACTAAGTGCGACCTAACACAAATTGGAGGTTAAAGCAATAATTTTATATGAGATTCAGATCAATATTTTAAATAAAAATTGATTGTTAGATATTTTACAAAGAGTTGTCTAATTTAGTTCCAATATTTTAGTAATTTTGGGATTTGATGAAATCAAATAATACATGTGTCATTGCAAATGTGAAGTTAAGATTTTACGGATGAATAAATTATTTGAAATCTTAAAAGAGAGCAAGAGAGTCAAAGATAAAGACAAAGATATAGATCAAAACAATGAGAGTGGCAGGTAGAGAAAAGCTTGAAAAGCGGCGGTGAGAGGATGAAAAGAGTGTGAAATGAATTTGAGAGATTACAATTTTTAAGTTAGAATTCGCTACTTTTAGGTTTTTTAGAAGGTTTTGTTATATTTTTTTATTTTTTTATAAATTTTTACATAGACTTATGAAAATACATTATATCTTTAATTGGTCCATTCAAAAGGATCTCAAAACATTAAGCTCAACTAAGGAGCAAAAATTAAATGGGGCTTAAGAAGGTCGGTCCCTGTTTGTAAACTTATTTGGGTTTAAGTACACACACACACACACACACCATTGGATCAATAGATTCCATTTTAAAAAGTTGATGAGACTCATTCATCAAAGGGTCCCTTTTCATTTGAGATGCAAATTTGGGTTACATAGTATTTCTCATATAAATATGAGATAGAAAAATAATTTTAATGCTAGCACTATTTTTAAGTTAAGAGTTGTTATATTTCAAAACATTGAAACTAACAATGATAGACAATATTTATGGTAAGGGTAATTATGGAATATATTTCAAAAAGAATTTGAAATGTTTTAAAATGTGTACTTATTGACAACTATTTGATGAAAAAAAATGATTTAGTAGAGTATAAGTTTAAAGGTACTACTTAAAGCCAAATAAGTTCTACAAAAGACACTTACAACCAATCATCCAAAATTAAATTTGGGTCCTAAATTTTTGGGGTTTTAAGTGACTATTTTAATGGTCGGGCCATAGGATCGGCCTTGTAGTATCTCCTCCCATTTCAATGGTTGAAGTGTTTGTGCATCTCCAGACGATTATAATCTCTATACATCTCTTATTATCGAGTCTTCGTCCATGAAACTGATTAGGTGAGCAAAATTGAACACTCAATGACATATAATGATTAAATGTAATATATGTGTTAGTCCATATTTTATACATTTTGCCTTTATTTGTCAAAAATCCTATGTGGACTGTTACAAAACAGTGTCATAATAAATATGTTAAAATTTTCTTTTTTGGTAATTCAAACATTTAATATATATTAGCAATGCAACATGTGCTTTGTACGTGAATAATTTTCGTGTATAAAATATTAATAAAAAGTATTAATATTTTAAGGTACTTGTATCGGTAATATAGATTATTAGTAGTATAGATAGAAAAAAAATACATATATATAGACATACTATTATTTTTTTATTTAAAAAGAGTAATGATCTATTAATAGGCTTTTTGAACATATTATTGAAAAATATGATGACACATATATATTTTTTAGGGTTGTGTAGTGAATTAAAATTTTTCATAGATATTGATATTTATACAAAGATAACAAATAATTAAAAGAGATATTAGAGGGTAGTTTGAAGATTTAAATACATCAGGTTGTGATTGTAATTTAGATATTTAACTATGAAAAGATAATGTGGTATATAAAATCTCTTATAAGGGTAAAAAAGTGAATTAAAAGTTTTTCACTTAAGATACTTTTATCAGTAGTATAAATATAAATTAAACATTACATATGTACTATTTTATTCCCATGTTACCTGTATGCAATTGTTCAAAAGTATAATCTATAGGAATTGTAAATATACATAGATCATCATTGCTAAATACACCTTTTTTAACAAGCAAATTCACATATCTATTTTTACCCTCATCTTTTATTTAATTTGCACATCTCAAAATCTCTCAAGTTGTCCATCATGTGTAGCTTGATACACTTTGAGGTTTATAGTGTTGACTCTAGATGAAGGTTTTTTTTTTTTAATATTAATTTAAAAAAATTCTTTCTTTTTAAGATGATGATTATTAGTCAAAGTTTATTCTAAATTTTTATACACGTATCTTTTCAATTGATCACATGACTAATCCATATAATTTTTCAAATTTTATGATATTGATTATTATTCATTTACCTAAATTTAATCTAATCTTTTTGTTGTTATGTTGTGTTTGTCACTATTGACAAATATATTTAAAAATATTTTATTTAAAATTCAAATAGTGCTTAAATTTTTATCTTCTTCAATTTTTTTTAATATACAAATGTTTGTTTTTTAATTGTTATATTTACAAATCAACCAAACACTTCTATAATAAGAAAAAAAATATTATGTTAGAATTATAAACAATTATAAGTATAAAATAATAAGACTTAATTTATTGTTGCAACCCATAAAATTAAGATATCATACAAATATTATCCCCTTAACATTAATTTACTAATTAAGATATAATTAGTAGATTAATGTTTTATGTCTTTAGTTATTTAGTAAAATAATGCACTTGTAATAGATAAAAAAAATGAGTGAAATTGAAAGAGGGAGGTAATGAAAAAAAATAATTTGATTTGTGTATTAATTTTAGATAAGGATAAACATATAACTAGAGGGAGAATATGTCAGTGTAAGAGTATCTCCAATTATAATTCAATTTTTTACTTAAATTTGAGTAAAAAACTTGATTTGATACAAAGAGCTCTAATGAACAAATTTAAATTTAAAAAAGGATAAACCCAAATTTAAATGAAGGTAAACCCAACTTTAAAAGAGAATAAAGATGACCATTGGATCTTTAAAAGAGATTAAAATCTCACCATTAAAGATTTAAGTAAGAATTTAAGTATTCCTTGATTTGAAAAAAAAAATGAGTCTCTTTTAATTTGGTATAAGTTTGAGTCAAAAGTTGAAGTAAGTTTTTTAGTATTTTTTACTCAAATTTACAATATATTTTTGATGTCTAATATACAATATATATTTTTTACATTTTCAACCTTAATTTTTTTTTGTCAAATTTAATTTTGTGTTTGGACTGGACTTTGGGCCCAAATTATTAACTAAAATTTGTTTATTGGTTGCAATTTTAATTAAATTTTTTTGTAGGTCTCAAATTAAAATAGTTTTTTGATCTCAATTTTTATAAATTTAAAATTTTAATATGAATTATATTATAAATCTATAAATTTGTGACTTGTTTTTTTAATTGGGGCCCAGTCGTGTGTGGCCGGCCTTGAAGACCACTCTTCAATTCAATTTATAGCGGAGGATTTCCAAACTCTAACCCCTTTTCAGCTCCACAAACCCTAGAAACTCAGATCTGGGGTTTCAATGGATGAATCCCAAAAACCCCCAGTCCCAGGAGGCCCTTCTCTGATAAAGCTCTTAGCATCCTGCAACACCACCATTAGACAAAGATCCCTCAAGCTCATCACGTCCACTTGGCTTCCTTCCCAACCCCAACTCTCCGATCACGACATGAAGAAGCTATGGAAAGGTCTTTTCTACTGTATGTGGCACGCCGACAAAGCTCAATCACAGTCCGAACTTGTCACCCGTCTCTCTTCTCTGATTCTGAACCTGGATCTTCGTCTCTCTCTGCATTACTTCTCCACTTTCTTGTTAACCATGCGCCGTGAATGGCCCGGCATCGACCACCTCAGGTTAGACAAGTTCTACCTCTTGATTCGTAGTTTTGTGCGGTCTATTTTTGGTTTGTTTAAAAAGAACAACTGGGATTTAGAGCTTTTGAGAGCTGTAATGAGTATTTTGAAAGATAAGGCTTTTTTGGCGGACGATAAGGTGATGGGAAATGGGGTTAATTATCATATAGTATCTGTTTTTCTGGACGAATTTAGGCCCTTCTTGCCTGTTAAGCTCGAAATGGTTGAGATTTTGTTGGAACCTTTTTTTGCTGTGATGGGTAAGTCTCAGGATAAGATTTTTGTCGGTAAGGTTAAGAGTAATGTGTTTGATGTGTTATTGAAAACGGGGAGGAGTTTGTTGGGGAGGAAGAAGTCGGGGTTGGATGGCGATGATGAGGTTAAGGATGAAGTGCTTGGGATGATATCATTGAAATTGGGGGTTTCGGGGAAATTTTACGAACTGGGTTCGAGTGAGGATTGTTTGCAGGGGAATAGGAAGGTTGTATTTGTTTTGCATGAGGAGTTTTTGAGGTTGGAGAAGGATTTAGAGTCTTCTGGAATTGAAATTCTGATTCCTGAGGTTAAAATTGATGATGATGATGAGGTGCCGAAGTTGATTCCTATTGTTAGTAATGGGACTGAAAGGGAAGGTGCTTCTGAGGTTATAATGGAAGGATGTGAAGTTGACCTAGAAGGTGTGAGTGCAACTAATAGTAAGAAGAAGAAGAAGAAGGAGAAGAAGGGCAATAAGGGTTTGATTGGGGGTAAGAAAAAGGCTACAAAGAAAAAGAATGGGCTTTCCGAAAATTGCTTAACCATTGAGGAAAGTGAGAATATGGTTACTGCAGATGGTGATAGTCCAAGCACCGGACCAGATAATGATGGTAATTTGATAACTTTTAATGAATCCGTGATTTCAAATCTTCAGATGCAGTTCGAAAAAGTAGCTGCTGAAGTTGGCATGGACACGGATGAGATAAGTTCATTCGATTCCACTGTAGTTACCATGAAATGTACTGCCTTGAAGAAGAGAAAGAGAGCTAAGAGTAAGGATAGGAAGGGCTCTTCCAACCCTGACCTGACTAGTCAAGCTGATACTGGAGGGGATTCTGCTTTAAAGAGTGTAGACAAGAGTGCAAAGAAGGTTAGGTTTTCCATGAAGAATAACTTGGTGTGGAAGCCACACAGCCCAATGCCTCCCCAAAGTTTGAGATTACCACCCTCTGTTACTCCTAGAGGTAGTGCTCTCAAGAAAGGGATACCTCCAGGTCCCATTAGGGAGATGCCTCCTGCAAAGAAAAAGGTGAAGCAGAAAAAGAAGGTCCGAAAGGTAATGAAGACAGTTTCGCCTGCCATCAAACGACTGCGGAAACTACATGCTCTTTCTGTCTAACAGATTCAGGTTGGTGGATCTTGTTTTTGTTGATTAAGTTCAAGTTTTTCTTTAAATGGTCGAATCTTCTGATTCATGGTGCTGTTTCTTGGCTAAATTGCCTTGGATGGAAGTTCTACAGATCTTTGTATTTTATTCTTGATTCCTTAAATTAAAAAATACATTCGATGACTGAGAGAGAGTATATGCTCTTGAATGAACAGCATATTAATGATTCTCAGCATATTTCATTGTTTGTGTTTATTTTTTCTGCGGTGCTTATCATAATTTTCAGATTCCCTTTTGTATCGGTGCCAAATTGGAAAGCTACCTTTGCCCCCATTTAGATATGAGCTATCAGTATCTCTTCTTATAACACTAAAACTTGTTATTGATGCTATGTTATTAGCTCCTTCTATTATGCTATTCATCTATCTGCTATCTATTTGAAGAGTTGACCAGCTTTGAAATGAATGCTTTTTACTGTAAATTATTTTCCACATTATCTGTTAAGATTCAAGAATATTGGGACTCTGAAATTATTGTAATTATATCTTACGTTGTTTCTTGATGGGTGCTTGTGTGATCTTTCTTTCTCTGGTTCTTTCTGATTTTTGTTGAAGATTTATCTTGAGATAAAATAAGTCTCCCTTCTGGACAGAGGTATGTTGACTGGATTAACTTTCCGTGTTCCTGAAGTTGTGAAGCTGTTTTATCATCAATTGATTTTTCCATCTGATGCACAGGGGCATCCGATTAAGCTCTACAGTATTAGTGTTGGTCTGGACTCTGGTGCAACAATGAGAGTATATATATTGTATATATAGGGTGGCATGGATGGTTATGTTGCATAAATCATGTATTGCCTTGTTCAATGATCGTTTTAACTCTAGATACATTGTATACCCAATCAAAACCAAGCTTTCAGTTCTTCTTATGATAAAAGATCTATTACTTTGGCCAGGGGATGACAAAAACAAATTCAGGTGAAGGCAGTGAGATACTGCATGATGGCCCAATAGCATACTAGAAGGATGTTTTCTTCAGCTTGATGTGGAACTTTTTTTTTCCCTCAAGTTTTTTTTTTTTTGGGGTAAATGTGTCTTGTTTCTCTACCTAATTACATTCACTCTGCTTAGACCTTTTGGGTTAAATGTGTCTTGTTTCTCTACCTGATTATATTCACTCTGCTTAGACCCAAGTATTAAGACAAGCCAAGTATTTCTCAAATTGAGTGAAGGTTAAGTCGCTTGATTCCTCAGAATCCTTCGCTGCCTCGGTGTTTTAGCGACTGTGGAATCAGCTTTTTTGCTGAGCTCTGCAATTATCAGCTTCTCTGCTGAGGTATACTCTACCCAGCTTCTTTAGAGCTCTACTTTACAAAACTTCTGTACTGAGCTCCTCTTTACTCAACTTCTTTGCTAAGCTCTACTTTGGTGAGCGTCTCTACCAATGTCTGGTTTGTTAGGCCTCTCCATTGACTGTTGGTATTGCTTTGTTTCTTCGTCACGGTATGCTATTGCTTGGCTTCCTATGCTATTCAATTTCTTTTTTTTTTTTTTTTGGGTTCAACGGTTGGGTATTTAGGTTAGCTTACCGCTTAGGTGTATTCAACTTCTCTGTTGAGGTCTGCTGGTCTTCCTTGGCTTTTTGGGTTTCTTGGATTTTCCTAGGCTTCTTTGACGAGCTTCGTGATCTTTTCTGGCTTCTTAGCCGTTGCCAATTAGACTTTCTTTTAGTGGGCGCATAATGCTGTTGAACCTCCACACGGATTCGTCAGATGCATTTCTTTACTTGCATGGATCAGAATTTTGTTTCAAAACCACCCAAATGGGTTAGACGCTTCTGTTTTTATTTATACAAAATTGAAATGGATCGGTAATTGAATATCGAAATGTTTTTATGTGTTTTGAAATATTTTAAGGTGTTTTGAGATGTTTTTAATTATTTTGACCAATATTTCAAAAACGAATTTTCAAAATTTTCTTTCATTTCTATTATGTTTTAAAAATTTTTTGAAACACTTTTATTTTCTAAATGACAAATAATGCACCGATATTCGGATTTGATTATTTCGGACTGGACCCTCATTGTGAAAAAGCCCAGGGGACTTGCTGAAATTCCGTCATTAGGGATAATGGTTCTGCTGGGCCGGGCCGAGCCTTAGCCTAAGGGGCGAACATTGAAGTTTCCCATAGATCGATTGATGATGATTAAACTTATCTACTCGTGGGCAATGGTTGGCTATTATGCTTTTAGCATCGTGAATTATTCTGTCGTTTTGTTTTTTTTACGAGATTTAGATGTTATTTAGTATTTTATCTATCAATTTCATTTAATGATAAATAACTAATCATTAAATTTATGGTGAGAGATTTATAATTAAATGAAATTGAAAAAATGTATTTTAGAGCGATCTTTTTATGGGCTTCGTTATTACACAGATGGAAATGTATGCGTACATCTTTGTTGGGTCAATGAAGAATCATTACCCAGTTGGGTTAATGAATTAATTGTATTTATGGGCAATGAAAATGATGATGGGTAATTAATGTTGGCCCAAGAATACTTGAGGCATTAGGCAAAAATTTTGAACCAAAACAATTGGTTGCATACCCTTGTGGTGATTTAACCAAAGGGATTAAATTATACCAGTGATCTTTGTGGGAGAGTTTATGGTGCTGCTTGGTCAAATAGCGGTACCTAGACTCTTCCGAACTTTTAACACTTCAGCAGCCCTCTCACTTGAGCAGCAGTCATTAAATGCAATACAAATACATCAAAAAAGTCTACATCATATACAGTGACCAAAGTGGTGAGATTACTTTGCAGTAGACCTAACCAAATGGGTAGCTCAGTTGGTTAAAGTTTCTGGCTTCTCGGTGGGAGGTCAAAAATTTGAAGTTTTTTGGGCACAAAAGCGTGATTGTTTGGTAAGATAAAATCTCAGTTGTTTGAATAAATCGTATCCAAGTCTTTGATGTGGGTTTTGATTCCCTGGTAAAACGCAAGTCTTGATTGAACTGGTATATGAGTTGAAAGACCGGTTCATATACCCAAGTTTGTCCTTGGTTCTACTTAGAGTTACGAGCCTGAGCGACATAAATGCGCCTCTATTCGCTAACGACAGATCATGGAATTTTTGTGTTCCCCAAAAAAAACTTTGCACTAGACTTTGGTACCAAGGTTAATTTATAACCCAAATGAGCAACAACCGATTTTTTTTTTTTTTTTTAAATTTTTTGGGTTCTAACCCAAATGAAGAAAAAAGAAAAATTCACTGTGCAAGATCTCCAACATCAAGTTTACCTGTGGATTTTTTGGGTTGTTAATGTGCCGACAAATTTTGACAATAATAACAGAGAAATTAAATGAGGGCTTCAAAAAAAAGATATTACAAATTCTTATTTATTGATATTACATGAGTAACGAATTTTAATTCGAGCACTAACAAGATTTGTTGTTTATCGTATTATTAGTTATTGTCTGTGCCTGAAGACACAGAGTAATAAAAATTGGTAAACAATAAACATATTTGTATTCATATTTAAAATCAAATCACAAATATAGAAAAGAGATAAAAGAATTTAAGCATCTGTTTGTAGTGAGGGGTGAGAGGAGGTTGGCGACAGTGGTGATAGTAGGAGACGGTGATGGTTGTGGTGAGTGACAATGATCGTGGTGACGATGGTTGTAGCGCCGGCGAAGGCGGATGTGATGGTGGTAGTGGTGGTGGTGGCGACGATAATGGTGGCGGCGATGGGGGCGACGGTGGTGGCGACGACGGTGGTAACGGTGGCGGTGGCAGTGGGGGTGGTAACGGTGGTGGTAGCAGTAGTGGCGACGAGGGCTATGGTGGTGGGGGTGGTGGTAGCAGCGGTAGTGGTGGCGATGGTGGTAGTGGTGGTGGTAGTGGTAGAGGTACTGGTAGGACGATTTCAAACACAATTTTTTTAAAGTATTTATGAGAAATAATTTTTAAATATACCTTAAAAAAGTCACTCCAAACACACCTTTAGAAACTTACTGTTCCTATTAAATTTAGGGTGTTAATATTAGTCATTAGATTAATTTTAAAATAAAATTTAAAGCGATCTTAACTGCGAATAGTAAAAGTCATTTTGTTTATTTTTTAAGATTTGAATTGTAAGCTACTTTATTATATAGACTAGTTATTGCCTCTGTGCCTGAAGGCACAGAGTAATAAAAAATAAAAAAAATAAAAATATATTTGTATTCATATCCAAATCACAAATATAGATAAGAAATAAATGAATTTAAGCATCGGTTGTAGTGGGAATGAGAGGTAGTGGGTGAAAGTGATGGTGGTAGGAGATGTTGATAGTTGTGGTGGGTGACAATGACCGTGGTGGTGATAGCGATGGCGACGGCGGTGGTGGTGGTTATGGTGGTGGTGTGGCGGTGATGGTGGTGGTGACGGCGACGGTTGCAGTGGTGGTGGTAGAGGTAGTGATGAGGCAGTTTTAAACACTATTTTTTAAAAAAATATGTATGAGAAATAATTCTTAAAAATACTTTTAAAAAGTAACTCTAAACACACCTTTAGAGTCCTATTTTTCCTATTAAATTTAGGGTGTTAATATTAGTCGTTAGATTAACTTTAAAGTAAAATTTAAAGCGATCTAAACCGCGGAAAACAAAAATTATTTTATTTATATTTTGAAATTTGAATTGTAAGCTATTTTATTATATAGATTTATGTAAAATCCTTTGACAAATTTATAATTACTTATAATTTTTAGATTTTTCTGTCACATACTTGCCAAGTTGAAAATCTTTAGTATGTCAAATTTTCAATTCTATGTGTCAAACATTTATAATATAAAACATGACAGACTTCAATAAGTCTATTCAATGATTTCAAATAGACTCATCTAATGACCACTAACATCTCTCTCAAAATCATTCATATTGTACTGTACTTTTAAGCACGGATTATGCTATAACTGGCCGTTTTGCTTATTTCCAAAATGAGAGACCAAGGTAATTAAACTCATAGAAAATTAAGGTAAACTTAATGAGCTTGATCATGATCCTCTTAAATTTGGCACTTGCCATGACTGCGAATCTCAAAATTCTCTGCTCTATGATATGGGTAATAGGTAGTGAAGTTAACAATCAATACTGACTTTCATTGTTGGAATTGAAAAACATATCACCAGTTTCGAGAGAATTGAAAACTAGAAAACTAGAATTGAAAAATATAACTTGAAATATTAGGATTGATCATAACAACTTTAGGATTGATTCCAAGTGCCCCAAAAAATTATAATATGAATCAAAAAAGTTATAAGTTTCTTTTTGTTGAAAACACATTAAAAAACTTGTATCTCAACCGAAAAAACTTATAAAACTTTGTCACAAACAATGTGACGTCAACAATGATCCACCAAATATATCTTACTACAAGCACATCTATCTGTATTGACTTTGGTCCCAATGGCCTCAACCCACCCCATACCCACCCTCGTGCTACCGAAATCCTTGTTGTCTTGGAGGGTACCCTACATGTTGGCTTTGTCACTTCTAATTTGAACCCTGGCAACAGCCTCTTCACCAAGGTCCTACGCAAAGGAGACGTCTTTGTGTTCCTGATAGGTCTCATTCACTTCCAATTCAATGTGGACAAAACTAATGCGGTGGCTATTTCCGCTTTTAGCAGCCAAAATCCAGGGGTCATCACTATTGCAAATGCTGTCTTTAACTCGACACCACCTATTTCTATTGATGTTCTTACCAAGGCATTTCAAGTGGACGAGAAAGTGATTGAGCTTCTCCAGAAACAATTCTAGTGGGAGAACCACTAGAAATCAATAGCTTAGGGGGTGAAAAGTTAATATAGTATATTTTATGAATAAAAGTAACAAACATAACCATTCCATCTCACTACTCTTAAACTTGTTATAAGAGTATATAACTAGTTTGGTCTGTTATGTTTGGTGGCATCTTTTTTAAAAAGATAGTCTAGCAATAAAATAATTGAGTTTGTTATGTGTGGTTCTTTTGGTGGAGTGATTTTCTCCTATTACAAATAATGAAGTTTGTTATATATGCTTGTTCTTAGTTCATTGATTTGGATAAAAAAAAATACGATTGAATTTAGATCCTCTTAATATAAAAGTTTTAATTATCAGTTTAAATAATCCATTCTTGAGTTTCATGGACTCAAAAATGAATTTGTTTATGTCCCAATAAGACCCAATGAAACTTCAATAATTTGACAAAATTTCGAAATACAGTGTGAAGATGAATCAAATCCCAACTACGATAATACCTTAATAAGGGTGTGTTTGATTGAACTCAGACGAATTGGACCGGGTTGGATTTGGAGCTCAGTTCTATCCAAAGTAATCCCTTGGCAGCCAGCTAAAAGGTTGCATTAGCATATTTTTTTAATCCCATCATTCATTTGGCTACCACTTCAGGATACTGTGGGCACCATGTACTAACCCATTAACATATTGATCAAATCTAACAATTTTGACATAAATTTACCATCATACTCTTGAATACAATCCATCCAAAAGTATGTTATATTTGGTTTGGCAATACTAATTTACAACTTTACAAAGTTTTAAATAGTAAATTATTATATCAAATCAAGTTTTTGGCGTTCCACTCTAAAAAAATTCAAAAAAATCAACCACAAATATGTTCGACCTTGCCTAAACATCAACAAAAAAAAAAAAAAAAAATTCTGTTTACAAAATATATTAACAAGTTTTATGTTACATATATAGATTTGATGAAAAACTATGAAATTACTAGCTTTTGTTTCCAATTGATTTTAACTTGATATTGATTTAGATTTTTCAATAAATAAACAATTGATTGCTCTGAAACATTCAAATCCAATGCTGAGGAGCATTTGCTTGATTTTCTAAAATCCAACAAAGAGTCATTCTCTCCAACATGCTCAGGTGTTGAATTAAAGTATTTGCTGTAAACTTTTTCAAAGTTGCAAAAAAAATGAAAGAAAAAATTGGACAATATGCTTTGTCTAAGTTTGTAGTCCGTTTGTGCTACTGTATCAACAATGTTTTAGGTCGCCATAAATCACAATCTGATCCTCAAACCCCCAAAACTCACTGAGTTTGGACGAAGTTTGTACCAACTCAGTTTCCTCCTGCCAATTCTCAAAGCTGCTCGGCGATGTGGTTGATGGAGGCAGGCCGACTTTATCGTCGAATGATCCCAAAAGGTATCTGAGATCCAATTGATATTTGCTAGAATTTGATGTCAGATCCACCACCATAGTAATTTTGCCTAAATAATGCATATTTATCATATTATTTAAGGGTTAATTGTCACGAGTATGGACTTAATTGTATGGGATTAATGCTATATTTGATTCTATCATAATTTAACTGGTGTTTGCTATTTTGTAGGTAAAATGACGAAATAAGAAGGTAAGAAGACCAATATGGGAATGGATGACACAAAGGAAGGGAGAGAATTGGAGAAAAGAGCCCTGAAGACCACGTACGGACATCATATGACCAAGTTGAAAGCAGGGTTCTACATCAAAGGAAAAATTGCAAGAACTCTCAACTTCTCACGTTCGAATGTCACATTGTTCACATGTGAATGCGTGTAAATCTAAGATTTGCATCCAGACGTTACTTTACCCACGTCCAGACGTGTGTCCTTATTCACCACCAATCAGAGAGCTTGATGACACGAGGCTTGGGTCATCTTCCTCTGATTTGGAAAGTACTCTCTATACTTTTTACAACTTTTTGGGGAGTGTTCTAGATTTGGAAACTTTATTCTTTAATCTTTGTTTAATTTTGTGTTTAGCCCCAATTAATGAATGACTAAACGCTTTTACTAAGGTTAGGAGAAAATTTAGTATACAGTTGGGTATGTAATTAATCCTATGAGCTTTAATTGATGTTTTTATTTAATTGTTAAATTCCTCTCATTTAGTAAAACTTTATCTCTATATAATTTCTCGAATTACTATACTAAATGTGATGGAAACTTGAGATTTCCTGTGAGTAGAATAACTAGATGTACAAGCTTGAGTTGAATTGTTAATTAATTCTTCTAATTAGTTGAATTGTTAATTTATATGAATTGAGATGTTTGATTGATTAATTGCTTGATTTATCATTGAGTTTGGACATGTTACATGCTTGTAATTAACAATTGAATATTTGGATTCATTTAGATTAGCTTATTAATTATATCTTAGAGAATTTCCCCATTAATCATTGATAAATCTTCTAATTGAGTTGACTCTCTAGTTGTTTCTCAAGTGAGATTGGAAATTAGGATTAATTTAGTGCCCAATTGTCATTGAAGAAGTATCTAATGCTTTAGTATTTTTCCAAATTATTTTCTCATGCTATTTTAGTTTATTTTTTTTAAGATTCAACTACCAAATCAATCTCTCTTAAACACACAAATATTTTTTTTTCATTCTAAAATCCCCATCTCCCTCTGGTTCGATTTTGGACTCTACAAAGAAATTACTGCTTGCTTGACATCTACACTTGGGTTACGACTTCTGAACTGAAGCAAGTAGCATGAGAGAGAGAGAGAGAGAGAGAGAGAGAGAGAGAGAGAGAGCTGTGTTGGAGGTGCCGATGAAGACAGATGAAAAGGTTTAGGTTGTTACTGTTGAGTTGCATGTTGGTAAATTTGGCTTTCATGTCGTGTGGGTTTTAAGTTGTCCGTATCAGAGGGGATTAACCGGTTCATTTACTACAGGGAGACTAATTGAGCCCAACAATAATCCCATAAAAAATTTTAAATCCAAAGTTAGTATTTGTGGGGCTCCAAGTTTTTATAACACAATTCAATTCCATTTTTCACCTTTATCCATCCAAACAAACACACCCTAAGGTCTCGTTTGGGTGGCTTTGGGAGATAAAAAGAATATATGGGTACCTGTATTCAACGAAAATCATAGACATTTCACAATGCATGTTTGCAAACATGAGAAGATTATTGCACCGACAAAAAATGAAAAGAAAATGGTGAGGTACCACTATTACAAGTTTTGTGGGTTTTCATTTAGAAAATTTAAGTCATCTACAATTTTTAGGGTAACTTCGTATCGATCACAAGTACCCTAAAAAGTTGTAACATGACTCCAAAAAGTTCTAAATTTCTTTTTGTTGAAAACAAACCAAAAAACTTGTAAAGCTTTCTCTAAACAATGTCAGTTCGGTAATAATCTACCAGATATATCTTAATGCACGTACATAGTATGTATATATATGTGTGTGTGTAAATTTATCTTAATGACATTCTTTAGAACCTGCAATGCCAAAAAACTTGTGCACTAAGATACTTATATGTCTATGAATTTATATCTCTTGCGTTGTATGAAAAGGATAAGACAACTTTGAAGTATACCCTAAGCATCTCGGAATCATAAGTATACCTTAAGCATCTTGTGTTCCAAAATCGCATGATCCCAAACAATAAGTGTGCGACGTAGATTGCTTGAATATCCAATTTAAGATTATAACTCAAACCCAAATAGGTCCAAATTATAATTGCATTTTGTATTTTTCCCTCAGAAGGCATAGCTGCATCTTATACTTAATTTAATTATCTTAGTAATATTTAAACTATGTGATGATTAAATTTCATTATTCAAAATCATTAGCTAGATTACGGTTTGTTTTGAATATATAATATTAATTGATTATGTGTAATACCAAATTGATGTAGATCAGGAAGGTATATAATTCACATAATAGAAAGAGAATAAGAAAAAATAAGGGGTGAAAGGGGTTTACCTCATCCTCGCAAGGAATTGGTGAAGAAACACAAATCTCCGCAGATAATACTCAATTCTTATTCATAATCTCTTCCCTTAAAAATAGTTGGGATTACACCATTATTTATAGGCCAAGTCCCCTACTAACATAAAAACTACTTTCCTACTAAAATATTAAAATAGTTTCATAATCAAACTCTCAAATCTCTATCCTACTAAAATTTATAATAATTTCCTAGTTAAACTCTAATTAAAACTCCTAGTCAAACAAATACTCATAAATCAAATAATAATAATAAACTATCAATTACAATTCCCTTTGGACAAAAAATTCCTAGTCTTTCGCTTAGGCTTCCAAAGTCGATTGCATTGGTTCAACCAACCAATGGCTGCGCCATTAATTCTCCCCCGTTGAAAAGAACTCGACTCTGGCGAGTAAGGAGAAGGGCCAAGAATACCATCTGATGGAGAAATTCTCTGAATCAACAACAAACTCTTTTTCAATTGTAGTGTACGCGCATCTGTAGCACAAGTAAGAGTATACTTTTTCTTCCAATTACAAAAGAATAGGTATTAGCACGCCCCACATGTTGTGCATCACGATCCCATATCCAAGTGCGCCCTAAAAGTATATGACAAAGCTTGAGAGGCAATACATCACACATGACGGTCTCTTTAAGACTTCCAATGGTGAATGTAACTGGACATCTCTTATCAACTTTCAGCTTCGTATTAGTAATCCATGCTACATGATATGGTTTTGGATGTGGTTTAACTTTCAAATTTAGCTTCTTCACGACCTCTTCTGATACCACATTTGTGCAACTTTCCGTATCAATCACTAATGAACATATCTGTCATTTACAACAAACTCTTGTCTGAAAGATTTTTCCTCGATGAATAAACTCACCATTAGCAACTTCTTTATTAGCAATAAGTAGAGGATGGAAAACACCCATAAAATGATCATCACCCAAATAATCAAAATTAACCTCACCCACATCAAGAGGTTCTACAATCTTTGTTTCAAATTCTGGCTCATCAGAATCATTATGC